CAGAAACAAAGAAAACAGTACTGAATTGTTAAGTAATATCAGTCCTCCTATATGGCAGAGAACTCCGGTCAATCTCTTCACAGATGAAGAAGTGACTTGAAGCAACAGAAATGTCGTTCTGCAAAACGATGCTGAGAACACGATCGACCGAATATGTGACCAACAACAAAGTTTTAGAGACAATGGAAGCAACAAAGACACTTATAGTTAACATCAGGAAGAGACATTTGAAATTTCTAGGGCATATTCCTTATTGGAAAGAGAGCTTGGAAAATGTGAGACTCACAGAACAGTTTGAAGGCAAGAGGGACAGAGAAAAACAACGCATAACCTACCTGGTTAGCTTGAGTAAATGGATAGCGGAACTGGGTTTAGGAAAGATAACAAAAAGACAAAATTTATGATGGTCTACTAAGGACAGGAAAGTATGGAGAGCCATGATCGCTAAGTTACACGGCACATAGAAAAGGTCTAGATTGAGAAACATCTTGATATCTGCAATGTTATTGGTCCTGACCCTGCATCTTGGCTTCAATCACTTTCCCATTACCGTAATGTAACTTCCTTGTACATTTTTCTATAAATACTTTGAGGAACTTTGACGTGGTCTAATGGTTGTGCTCAGTGAGACGTGGAAAGTTGGGGATAGGATGGCCTTTGTCATTTGATGTTGAGTTTGAGGCAAAGATCGCCTTGTCTGTCGAGGATTATAATAGTGGGCACAGACGCTTTACCTCTGTTCATAATTTAGCTGACGATCTTCCAGAATTAGCGACATCTAATTTGTTTATTTGCTGGCCTGGAGAGATAGCGCGTAGCTGGACTTTGTGCTTTCCATGACTCTTACAGAAATTGTGGACAGTCAAAGTTTCGTCCAGGGAGATAGACAGATCCCGAACCCGCTTATGCGGGTTCTAAGGGAATATTTTTGGCCGAGCCTACGGGCTGGGAGAAACCCATATTAAACTCGGCCTTGTGCCACATACATTCCTCGTGGGGGGGGGTCTGTTAAATATCGGCAGTCGGGACGCGGTGTAACCTGACAGTTCAGACGGACACTCCTATCTGCTGACTAATAAGACTCTTATTTTGTACATATGGTCTGTTATTTCAACCTACCTTGTTCAACCTACCTTCTTCTTTCCGTGTCTTTCTTTCTGGGCCCCTAACAGGTCACAACAGTAGGAATAGAGCCTTGGGGAACACCTGCGTTTGTGGGAAAGGAACTGGAGGAGAATTCGTTAAAGTAGACTTTCATTATACGGTTTGACAGGAATGATCGTATTAAGTCAAATAATCAACCTGGAATTCCGTATCCCTGAATCTTACGAATAAGGCCGGCACGCCAAACCCTATCAAACGCTTTAGAGATATCTAGAGCCACGGCACGAGTTTCTCCGTTATTGTAGAATGCTTGGTAAACAACTTCAGTTATGGCCGTGAGCACATCAGCTGTAGACCGGGCGAAGCGGAAATCATATTGCTTGTCAGAGAGCAGATCATGGGATATAAGATGCTTAACCACTTTGGCGTCGATTAGAGCTTCAAAGACTTTGCCGAAGAGTGGTAGGAGGCTGATAAGATGGTAGTTAGATGTGTCAGAAGGATCTCCAGAGTTCTTAAAGACAGGTAAAATAGATGAGGACTTCAAACAGGCTGGAAAACAAGATTCATTGAGGCAGTAGTTATATAATTTGGAGAGGGTAGAGGCCAGTTCAGGGGCACATTTCTCCAGGACAATAGCTGGTATCCCGTCTCTACCAGTAGCCTTGTGGGGGTTTAATTTAGAGATGATGTCCAATACTGACGACGGGGATATGTGCAACTCGCGCAATAGTGCCTCAGTTCTAAGGGGGAAATCGGGTGTGGGTACACCGGATGATTCGTACATAATCAGGATATATGAAACTTATCTCACACCAGGAGAGTTTCACTTCCCGACAGAGTATTGTTCAACCAAAAATATTGAAATTAAAACAACCAAAAACGATGTTATTTGTGTCGACTTACAAAGTGTAGCTCAGACATGGCATAAGGCCGAATGTATGGAACATCACTCACTACTCAGTCGTAACTGATCTATCAAAACAAGCTCAATATTTAGTTGACCCCCACTGAGTCAGGTTGCAGCACAAGGTCGGTTTTTTTCCACTCGGACCGCTGGTCAGAGCTTGTCTAAGCCAGTCATAGCCGGTCATACCACCCCTACGTAACGGATGTCACGCAACGGTGTGGTTGGAGCAAGGGAGAGGAGAAGGCCCCCGTCACGGAACAGATACTACATCAACAGCTTCCATCACGATGAGAAAAAACCCCTATCTCCTCCTCTGTCAATCCTCCAGAAGAATCCGTAGCTTAGATGTGGCACTAGTATGGGGCACCCAGTATGGATCGAACTTAAGTACTCAGTTGTAATTGTTCTAGCGAGGCAAGCTCTCTAACCATTACACCACGTAGAAACGTCCAAAAATAAAGATATTTATCCTAATGACAAGATTTCATCTTAGAATTAAAAGTATCTATTTTCTGCAAATTTGTCATTTCAAAATGGCATGGCTGTCATGCCTTCTAATCTTAAATAATAATACAGGTTGAGAAACCTTTATCCGAAATTCTTTGAACCGGAAGTATTTCGGTTTTAAGATATTTTTCTGATCTGGAATACGGGCTATTTAATTTGTTATAATTTAATGTTTTATAAACACGACATCTATTTAGATTTCATAACACAGCTTATACATATACCCTGAAGGAAGTTTTTATATATATATATAAAAACACAAACATATACCCTGAAAGTAGTTTTATATAAAACTAGCAGTAGAGTCCGGGGATGTAAGAGTAAGAGATAGATCAAGTATCGGCCATCATAAAGACAAAGATTATTGTTTAAGGTTGACGGACACGCATGTCTTAATTAGTTTTTTTTTACGAATTGGTCAAACTCAAACAAAAACATTGTTTTCAATCGTTATGAGTCTACCAATTGAATAGAATTTTATTATAAACAATTGTCTTGTAAATGGAATCTTTAAAGCATTCTGAATGTAAAAATAAAGAAAAAAGTGTGCAAGACAATAAGAAACACTACCAGCCAAAAAAAAAGTGAAGTTTTGTTGAAATCGGTTGAAAAATGTAGGAAATCCGATCCCATATACAAAAGAACACACACACAAACAAACAAACAAACAAACAACCTGGGTTTTATAATAAGTATAACTCGATATGAGTTGTCCCCCTTTCATGCCTCTTAATTGTGTTTTCAAATTGATTTCGTGCAAAAACAATTGTGTTTTTCCAATTTTTGGCGCTGTTAGAACCACCGTAAGGTAATTTTACGTAGTCCTATGAAGTTTTGTTGAAATCGGTTGAAAAATGTAGGAAATCCGATCCAATATATAAACGTACACACACACACACACACACACACACACACACACACACACACACACACACACACACACACACACACAAACACACACACAACCTGGGTTTTATAATAAGTATGATTTAATAAATTTTGTTTGCATACAGATACAGGTTAACGTTAGGCTTGTAATACTCACACGGATTTTTAAGTGGTGAAATTAAAATTTCGCATAAAAATAATGCTTGTACTTTCTGTACGTGTACAAAAACATGATCCCTACTCACAAAATATATAAATGCAGGATTTCTTAATATTTTGAATAATATCTTTACTGAGCACGAAACACCTGATAAGTAATCTATGAACGGGCGTGTTGCTGTGATGATCGGTAACAAAAAACTCGCGCCAAAGTAGGCTACATAGCTAGACTGGGGAAAGCCGACCCAGAGGCCACTTCCAATAGCTGCCCATGTCCTAAGAAACTTCCCAGTGCTTTCTGAAGTTTTCCATTTGTGGTAAGTCATGTCAGAACCTGAAAACCTTTCGGATTTTGGAATTTCGGAAAATAAAAATTAATTATCACTGGTATGTGACATTAATGGTAGTTACGGAACATCTAATCAAACCCGACTGTAATTTCGACGAACATTTTAAGGTGTACATTCTGAATAAATATCCCGAATCCATCGACCTTTCGGTCCTTAAAACACATGAGGATAGTTACGTATGCAAAGTACTAACTACCCACTCCTCATCCTGGGGGAATGAACATAATAAAAGTTCCATAGGATTTATATTTATACTAAGCTGTATTCTTATTACTAATTATTCAATTAACGGGACATTTCAAAATGAACCCGCACACTATCATGTTACTCACATATGGGTTGCATTCCATTCACGCTAGTTACGTTTCATTCGTTTTGTTGCGTTGCTTACCAATACAACCATTTTTCTCAAAACAAGCGACGCAACGTTTGTTCGTCCTGGGTATAACGACAAACTGCATCCGGCAGCAAGGACTCTGATCAGGAGGTTTTAAGAAGCGTGGAACCACCTTTTAATTGCTGTTGTTCTAAGATCCATCATGACGCATCGTGGTAGCACTGGTTAGGGTCCCAGTTATGGGCAGAATGTTAACACACCAAACTGGGGTCAAAACACTATGAAAGTAGAAAAAAACGTATTTTTGTATTAGAAATGCCAGCAATTCATTTTCATATTAAAGGAATTACCTGTAATACATTTTTGTAAGGAAAAAATATTACCAGAAATACATTTAAAAAAAAAAAAGAGAAATATTACCATTTTTGTAAGGAATAAAAAAAAATATATATTAACAGCAATACATTTTTATAAAAAAAAAAAAATGTAGATAGTACCAGCAATAGATTTTTGGAAAAAAATACCAGTAATATTTTTTGTAAAAGTGCTCCTAAGAAAATAAAATTTCGGCACTAAATGACCCATAAGGAGTTGATATGCTGTTAAACTAAAAAAAAATAAAGACTTGTATTTTTTAATATTTTTATAATTGTGTGTAATTTTTAAAGATAAACTTACATTATTTACACTATTTACATTGTTCGGATTGTTTTCTTCATCTACGTTCACTCACTCTTCCAACGACATGCTGCAACTCTCCTCCTCTTCTCTCTTCCAACCACAGTCTTCAACTCTTCCCCTCTTCGCTCTCTCTCTCTTCCAACCACACTCTGCAACTCTTCCCCTTCTCTCTCTCTCTCTTCTTCTTCTGCAACTCTTCTTCTTCTTCTTCTCTCTCTCTCTGAAAATCTCTGAAAATCTCCTTCTTTTCTCTCTGACTCTGAAAATCTCCTTCTTTTTTCTCTCTCTCTCTCTCTCTCTTGCAACCACACTCTGCAATTCTGCTCCTCTTCTCTCTCTCACTCTCTTCCAACCACACTCTGCAAATCTTCCCCTCTTCTTAGTCTCTCTCACTCTCTCTCTCTCTCTCTCTCTCTCTCTCTTTCTTCCAACCACATTCTGCAACTCTTCTTCTCTTTGTCTCTTGCAACCACACACTGCAACTCCCCCTCTTCTCTCTCTCTTGCAACGACACTCAGCAACTCTTCTCCTCCTCCTCTCTCTCTCTCTTCCAACCACACTCTGCAACTCTCCTCTTCTCTCTCTCTCTCTCTTCCAACAACACTCTGCAACTCTCCACTCTTCTCTCTCTCTCTCTCTTCAAACCACACTCTGTAAATGTTCTCCTTTTCCACTCTCTCTTCCAACCACACTCTGCAACTCTTCCTCTCTTGTCTCTACCTCTCTTTCTCCCAACCACACTCGGCAACTCTCCTACTCCTTTATTCTCTCTCTCTCTCTTTTGAAACCACACACTACAACTCTTCTTCTCTCCTCACTCTCTCTCTCTTCCAACAACACTCTGCAACTCTCCTCCTCTCTCTCTCTTTCTCAGCCACACTCTGCAACTCCTCTCCTCTCTCTCTTCCAACCACACTCTGCAACTCTCCTCTTCTCTCTCTCTCTCTCTCTCTCTCTCTCTCTCTCTCAACCACACTCTGCAACTCTCCTCTTCTCTCTCTCTCTCTCAACCACATTCTGCAACTCTCTTCTCTCTCTCTCTCTCTCTCTCAACCACATCTGCAACTCTCCTCTTCTCTCTCTCTCTCTCTCTCTCCTCTGCAACTCTCTCTCTCTCTCTCTCTCTCAACCACACTCTGCAACTCTCCTCTTCTCTCTCTCTCTCTCTCTCAACCACACTCTGCAACTCTCCTCTTCTCTCTCTCTCTCTCTCTCTCTCAACCACATTCTGCAACTCCTCTCGTCTTCTCCGTATGTATACTCAGCAGATAATAATGAATAGAATTCTGAGGGAATCTTTCATCCCACCAACTGTGAGAGAATGTGCTGGTGTGTCTGTGTGGGCGTTTTCTCTCTCCTTTCCTTCCCCCTCCCCCACCTTCTTGTGAAATAAACATGCACAAATCCAACCAAGGGACACGTATGATTCCCCCCCCCCACTACCACTTCTTCACCTTCCTCTTGGACTCTCTCTCTCTGTCCCAACCACACTTTGCTACTTTTCTCCTCTTCTCTCTCTCTTCCAACCACACTCTGCAACTCTTCTCTTCCTCTCTCTCTTCCAACCACATTCTGCAACTCTTCTTTTTCTCTCTCCCTCTTTCTTCCACATTATTCAAACTTCAGTTTATTTGACTTACAAGCACTTTGAAAAAATCAACAAAAGAGAAAGTCTTTTTTTTAAGAAAAAAAAGAAAAAACAAAAAAACAAATGCCATAAATTGTTTGTTAAAATTGGACTCAATCCAAACCGACTTGAGAGCCTAGGAATTTCCATGGTAATTCTATTATCAATTATGGATCTGACAATTCTTAATATTAAAAATCAATATTTATTGATTGATCTCTGTTTCTGCTTCAAACTTTCCTTTATAACTCCTCCCCTCCCACTTATTAATGTTAAAACTGCACAAGTCAGTTATTTTATTTTTAATAAAATTCCCACAGTTCAATGTGGTATAAGGTATGAAAGTTAAATCTATTCACTTTCATGAGGAAGTGAACATATTCAATTTTCATTTTTCGACTCAAACTGAAGCAATTCACTTATACTATAAACAAATTGTATATTCATTTTAAAATGAAGTGAGTTGAGATATTTTCACTTGGAAATAAATTTGCATGGTTTACTTATATAAGCTGCTTGAATTTGAAATTATTACTAGCAGTATTTTTTTTTTTTTTTTTTAGGCATGTAAGATTTTTTGAGATTATCTACTTTAAAACAGCTCTCTCCTCCCACTTCATGTAATGTTTGGATCCTGGGTTCATTAAATATTTAGGTTCAACAGAAATATATTTGTCTTTCCCATTAAAAAAAAACTATGAAAGGATCAGATTATTAAAAATAAATAAATGAAGTGGTCCTCCATTTTGTTCATGTACCAACTAATATGTAGATATATTTGTAGTTACAGAAGTCAATTTTTAAGGTTTGCAACAAAAAAAAAAAGACAGATTTCTAAGCATGTGATTGGACCTTAAACAAGTTTTATTGTTTTTATTCATTTTAGAATAAACCTTTTGTGTTTGAATATATTATTATAACACTTGCACAAAAATGTTACTCATTTCCAATGATTAAAGTTTCCTCTTTGTTAATTTTATGTTAATCACTTTCAGAATTTAACTTAAAACATGATATACCCTTCATCTTGAATATGAACAAAAAAAGATGCATTTACTTGCATGAGTTCAAGCTTAGTCATTATGCTTCTCAAACTGCTTCCAACATTAATAGAGCATGGGATGAAGTATCCACTGGTGATCGGTCAGTACAAACCTGGTTTCTGAAGTTTTTGCAGTCAGGGAAACTAGTGTTGAAGATCAAGATGGTAGAGGATGTTTCATCTGCAAATTGACAATTAACATCTGAAAACACTAGTCGAATAAAACCCAAATCAAAGTGACTGAGAAATGTATTAGATGATGGGTGTCAGCATTTTAATAATATCTAAAAAATTGGGCAAAGTGGAGAAATTCAAGAGAGGGTTCCATACGAACTCAGTGATGGTCAAAGAATTTGACCTTTTGATGTGTGTTTGATGCCGCATCTGTAAAATTCAAATAATCCATTTTTTGATCAAATATTGACTTGTGATGAGAAATGAATCCTTTATGGCAATCATAAATGGTTTCCTCATAACAAAAAACACAAACACTTTTCCCAAATCAAAATTGCACCAATAGAAGATTATGTTTGCATCATCCATTTACAGCTTTCTGGAATCTAACCAGAAGTTTACTGCCAGCAACAGGATGAAATGCATTCAGTTAAGTAAAATGCAAACATCACTGGTTAATCAGTGAGAGGTGCAGTTCTGCTTCATGCTTGGTCCCATGTTGACAGGATGACACTGGAGAAGCTCAATGACTTGAGATACAAGACTGCTACACCCACTATATTACCCTGATTCCTCACCTACTTTTTTTTTAGACCAAAAACATCCCATTCCAAAGAAGATGCAGAAATTACATTCAAAGATTTCTTGGTGTTTGAAACTTTAGAGTTTTATCATAAAGGCATAGATAACCTCGTAACTCAATGGCAGAAGTGTAGATGTTCACAGTTCCTATTTTGACTGATTTAATCACGGCTCAAATACATTATTTTAATCACGGCTCAAATACATTATTTCAGGAATAAACATTGAATTCTAAAATCTGACATTATTTTTCCAAACAATACAATAAGTTTTATTGACTTTGAAATAATTTCAGGAAAACAAACATTGGTTTTGATTTCTTCTGAATAGTTTTCATCTGCGAGCATAAAACTGATGAACTTAATTTTGAACTTAATATGTGATAAATGATATATATATATATATATATATATATATATATATATATATATATATATATATAATTATTTTTTTGTAAAATTCTTTTTAATATTACCCGTATTTTAAAGATCTGAATAGCTATTATAACATGATTTCGTTGTCAAACTTTTGAATCTTCCTATACTTAGGTTTTGATTGGTCATTCTAGCTTTTGTAACAATGTTTTCCCCTAGCGAAGGATCATTAATTAATTTGAAACTTTTAAAACCATTTATTTTATATTTAACATCATCAAAATGGTTATTTTTGTAGTGATTTTATAACATATGTTATAAATTTTTTTTTTATAAAAATAATTATATGCACTACTTTGTATTGAGCACTCTTTTAAGAATAGTAATTGTTGGTTATTGTTGAAATTAAAATGGCTATTTTTCAGGACACACATTAGAAAAGTGATTATATGACTTTATAAATTTTTTTTTAAAATAAAAAATAAATTAGGGTTGAATAGGGACTGCTCTTTACTTTTTATTGAGCATTTTTTTTTTTTTTTTAAGTAAAATTTTAATTTTTGGTTAGATTTTAAGTTTTAGGAATTCATTCCATATCACGTGACGTCCAATTATATACTTAACAATATATATATATATATATATATATAAATATATATATATATATATATATATATATATAAATATATTATATAAATATATAAAAAATTATGAAAAAATTTTTTTATGAAAGTATTTATTTATTTTATATATATATTTGATATTTCAGATTGACCTCAATCAATTTCTTCAGAAATAACTGTTTGTTACAAATAAATAAAATTAAAATTACTGTTTGTTTCGAACACAGTGGTGTATCATCGATATTCTGTGGATCTATATCCATTTTATATTTGCTTACAACGCCACAAGCTTATCCGAAAATTCTAACGTAAATTAACAGAAAAATATATGAAAAAACGTTCCATTGGGCATTCCATATTATGAAATCATCTTCACATATTTTCCCTGACTATATCAAACTTTACCTGGAATCATCAGTAAAAAGATTTAAAGTTTTCCGAGGAACAAACCTTTTTTAAAAGCCAACTTTTGAACTTAAATTTTTTCTATATACTTCGATCCGAATTACAGAATTAATCAAAAACACATCAGGGTTTAAAACTAAAATTCCAACTTTTTATGCTGTTATATAGAACGAATTACCAACAAGACCACACTGAAGTTAGCCATATATATACTGGTTTCAAAAAAGACCACAATATTAGCAAACTGATAAATATAAATATATACCCAAGGCATTTTATGCCTCTTTTATATATATATATAATGCCTTAAATATATGAATGGATATATATCTCCTTCTGATAAAAGGGAATGTTGTTGTCCTGTGTACCCCTCACTGAAAATATGATAAATTGGTGTCCGTCATAAATATCGACGGACGTATAGGAGATAATATCGAAGTATTTAAGCCTTAGTCTGAGAGCGAAGTCTATAACGACGCCCATTGGACTACGTCATTGATCTACTTAGACATCAAATCTTTATTTACCTTACCTGTGATAAACATTAAATAATTACGACGCGTACCAGTTGATTACTGCTACCGTATTCTATCTTGATGATAGTAGCTTCCAATATAATAATATTTATTAAAACAAAAATTTGGTTTAGCTCTCTTCATGTTTAAATTTCTTGAATATCCCTTCCCAGGACATATATATATATATATATATATATATATATATATATATATATATATATTTTGAACAATAGAAAAAATATTAAAAATTAAAATCTATTTTAGACACACTGGGTTGTAGATTAATATTGTTTCGTTTTTTATTATTATTATTCCATCTTTTTAGATTCCTCGACTAGTTTCGACCTAAAATGGCCATCATCGGGATCATCGGAGTATCTCATAATCTAAATGAAAAATCAAAATTTATAGAACTTGCTGGTACATCCGATGCTTGCATCTATCAAATATAAACTATGGGAAATGAATGTCTTGATGGAGAAAATGAACTTTTTTGTCTGGAGTTTTCATTTGTTTTTTTTTTTTAGCTTTTTAACATGAATCAAATTTTTAACATTCCTTGTGTTGGTCAAACAGTCTCATTTTAAGATTTTATTTGAGATAAGAGCTGGATGGATCCATGCAGACGTCGACATTTCATTCATTTTAAACATTTGCACAGATTTTTGTTTGACCTATATATATATATATATATATATATATATATATATATATATATATATATTGAACAATAAAAATATTAAAAAATAAAATCTTCAGACACACTGGGTTGGATTAATGTCTTTGATTTAGTGTTTGACCAAAATGTGTGTGTTATTTGGTTCTTAATGGGAGAAAATGAACTTTGTCTGTAGTATTTGATGAATCTTTTATTCCTTGTGTTGGTCAAACAGTCTCTTTTAAGTTGTTATTTGAGATAAGCTGTATGCTTCTCTGAATTCCCTTTGGTCAGTTTGACAGTTTTATTGGTGTGTGTCTCTGTTTAGTGTTTGTGTGTGTGTTATTTGGTTCTTAGGGGTGAGTGAGTATGATATGTGTGTGTGTATTGCTGTTGTGTGTTATCATTTGGCTCATTAGGGAGTGAGTGAGTATGATGTGTGTAAGTGTGTATATTCGTGTGCGTGTGTGTATAAGTGTGCTGATTATGTTGAGAAAGGCTTACTTAACTTAATTTTGACCAGCTATTAATATGTGATAAGTGATAGATTAAATTTATTACATTAATTCATTAATTAATTATATTAATTCAGGAATAAATGTTTAAAACCACTGACAGGGTACTGTAGTTAA